TTTTTGGGGATGTTAAGTTGTGTTGAGAGCAACTCGAGATCTCAATTCACCTTACATACTTGCCCATGAATGAGAACTGAAGCTACTATTACGATCGGAAGTAATCTTTAGCGGCATACCATGTTTCGCAACAGTTTCATCCAAATATACCTGTGTGTATTTCTCTATTGGATCTGTTTCATGTATGGCAAGAAAATGTGCACTCTAGTCAGCCGATCGACAATTACCCAAATGTTATCATTTTGTCTAGCAGTCTTTGGCAATTGGAGCAACACTAGACATAAAGCCAGTTCAAAATTCTATTTGCTTATTCCGAGGGAAGTCCAGAAAAATCATCGGGGAAAGCATCAGGATATTCTTTAACAACGGGAACATCATTTACAGTTTTCATCTCCTCTTTTGAGATATCAATTGTATAGATAAGTAGAATACCCCTTCGATATGAGTTTACGAGTTTTTAGGAAAGAGATTATTTTTAAGATTTTAAGTCTTTATTTACCGTAGGCATCAATAGGATTCTTCCCTTCGATAGGGATGTGTGCCATCTTTTCGTAACACAAGAGTTCTACGTGGTTCTTTAATAATCAATCCATAACGAGAATAATATCAAATTTTGGGCAAGGAGATAGGAATCAGGTTAACAAGAAAACTATAACCTTCAATTTCTATGACACAATCTCTATAGACTTTATCAGCAAGTATTGATACACTTCCCGCAGTATCTACATGAAATGATCGGGCGAATGTATAATTAGCAATTTGAAAAGAATGCTCAATTCATAAGACACAAAAGAATCTGAGGCATCAGAATCAAATAAGATATGAGCAGGTCTAGAGTTGACGAGAAAAGAATCAGTCATAACATTCACGTCCTAACGTACCTCCTCTGTGGTAATCTAAAATGTACGATCTTTAGATTTTGGTTTGCCAAATGATTGTTAAACTCTTCAAACTTTTTAATTAATAGCGGTGCTCATACCTGCACCCGCTCTTCATTCTCCATTGGGCCTTCAGTTCTTATCTCTGAGTTAAAGATAAATCAATTTCTCATTTCAGACTCTTACTCCTTCATGAAATTGGGTTATAAACTCAACCCAAGATAAGGTCTTCACTTTGCTACAACAACAATTCAAATGTTCATATTCTAATGACCTTTGATTATACAATGAATCATACTATTATTTCTATTAATCAAACACTGTCATAGAAGAAACCTTCCTTCATGTTCTAATGTGATATAATGTCTTCATAACTAGTAGAATTTCTAGCTAATAGTTGCTTAATCCTTTAATGAAGTATGTTATACTTTTATCGACTACCTCGACCATCTCCTTCTTCAATGTTCCGACTGAAGTTTCGTCGCTACCGAAACATGGTTCTCTGAACCAATCAACTCACTTCGCAGATTTATATTAATCGGTCTCGATTCTTTATGACCACTAAGGTCTGAATGAAAACCATCTTCTTAGTCATCACCGAAACGAAAACGAAGTGTATGCCTCTACTACTATTCACACATACTCATACTCGTTCCAAGTGTGACTTTCTAGCTTCTTGGTAACCTTGTGACTTTCTCTGATCCAAGTGTGAGTCTTGTGCTTCCAGTAGTATATGCCTCTACTACTATTCACACATACTCATACTCGTTCCAAGTATTATCTCGCAGTCTTCCAAGTCACCATTCTAAAGTTTTCACAAAGCAACTTTTCATACCTGAGTGTGTTCAAACAAATACATACAACAATTTCTCCTAAACTCAACTAGGGATTTCACTTTTCTATCAAACATATCTTGGATTTCTTAAATTCGTCTTCTAGAATCCTTTTTATGTATATGCTCGATCTAGCATATCCTAATACTTTTCCTAGATCGATAGGAATTTCACTTCCAAATTCTTCATATAAATTCTTCCTCAGGTAGTGTCTTGTGACAACCCAAAATTTCTATCTTGTACAATCCATTCAATTCAATCAAAGTCAAACTCGTTTCTGCTATCTTTTAGCATTGTTTAGGGTCTGTTTGAGTGTTCTAAGCTTAGTACAATCAAGGTTTGGGTTTAGGGTTGAGTTATCTCAAATCATAGGGTTGCATTCGGGCCAAACACTCCTTCAAGAGGAATGTACGGCCGTACACATGGGTGTACGACCATACACCCCCTCATAGTCGTGAACTCATGCCCTTATATAAGTTCTCCCTTCATTTTCCTTCACTTTTTCACACTTCCAAGCCAAGAAAACCAGATTTTCTCTCAACTATCATCAAGTTCTTCACCTTAATCTTCAAAGAAGTAAGTATTCATTCCATTTGATTAGTTGATTCATTTCATTGGCTAGTGAAGATCCATGTTTCATCCATGAAACGTATCTTTTTGAATAGATCTTCAAGAATCTCATCTTTCACCAAGAACACCAAGAACACACACTAGTTCTTAATGACCATGAACTCCATAAAGACCCTCAAAAGTGTAAGCATCCATTCTATCTTCTAGTTAGGCTTGAAAAACACTTTATTTATGGCCTTAAATCATCATCAAATGCATGAACACCAAGGGTGTACAACCGTACACTCATCATATGGTCGTAAACCCTTGTTTAGTGCATGTTTAGGCCTCAAACACACCCCATGTCCCAACATAAGACCTTGAACACTAAGTAGATGCTAGTTAGAGCCATGAAACACCCCGTTTTGCAAGTTTTTCCATGGGTGTACGGTCGTACACTCCATGGCCATACACACCATGACCGTATACCACAAGGGCCATACACATATTGGCCGTCATCTAACAGAGTATAGATGACAACCACAAACTATTCTAGACAGTTCATTTGAACACTAGCATAGTAGCAACCTGTAGGTGTTGTGAATGATATGTTCACCAGATGTAATCTAAAAACCCTGGCGGCTATGAACTTAGTGCCTCACAAATGAACGTTGGCAACTATGGACTTAGTGTCTTAGAAATGAACGTTGGCAACTATGGATTTAGTGCCCTATAGATGAATATTTACAGCTGTGGACTTAGTGCCCAATAGATAACATCGGCAACTATAGACTTAGTATCTGTTATACAAACCCCGACAACGATGGACTTCGTGTCTATTCCTTAGGACAATCCTTAGGGATAAATATTGAGGAATAAATGATTCTTAGGGAAGATACTTAAGAATAAAGAAGATAATAGTGATGGGTAATTGGGTTAATTGTTTGGTGATGAAACATAATAAATTTATTATTATGTGTTGAAAACCCTATGTACTCACCAGGTTTTCCAACCTGACCCACTCAATTTATTTGTATCAAAGGTATCGATACGAAGACACATTACAATGAGAGATAAAAGGAGATGTAAATTATTAGCATAAATGAATGTAAGGTCCGTTTATGCTTATGTTTCGGTATTAACAATGACATCCCAAAGTTTTAATATAAACAAAATATATTTATTCGGAAATGCTTTGATAATATATTTATCATGTTTATTGGGAACAAATTCCGCAAATATTTCTTTAAAAGTATACTTTGATTTTCAAATAAAGAATAAACAAATCGGTCTTTTCTGGCCGTGAAATTGAGGATGTCACAGATTGTTCATTTGTTTGTTTTTATATGTCGACATATTATATTTAGCGGTTGAGGGCAGACTAACTATTAGCTAAAGGTCAATATACCCAAGGGGTTGACTAGCTAAAAGCTGAAGGCCAAGGGGCATACCAGCTATGAGCTGAAGGCCAAGGGCGGACCCACTGTAAGCTGAAGGGCACGGGGTGGACCAACTATATCATGAAGGCCATTACTTGTATGAATTGTATGTGTATTATGATATGTAATATTTTAGGGAACCCACTAAACTTTGCTTTACAATTGTGGATTTAATGTTTTTCATGTTGTTCTCCAAATCATGGTAGGCTCCAGTTTAACTGTATTGTACATGCATCGTAGACGATCATGACTTCCGTTGATTATGATTTGATACTATGTTTTTTCGAAACTCATTTTTTTATGCATTTTTACACTATGGTTTTACAATGTTTTGAATTAATCTATTACTCTAATCTTTTATGAAAATTATTTAGATGAATTACTTAGGTGTTGTTTGTTTTTTCGAAGCAAAATATCTGAAGTCTGTGGACCACCACTGCAACTCTCTGTCGCAGAAGAGGTGGAACAAACGGCTGCAACATTTAAAAAAAATATATGTATGTTTTTTAACGTATGCAGACTGCTGCAGTAAGTTAAAGTAAAACGTGAAGATGTTTGAAGCAACTGGTTTAGTGTTGCGCCACGCAACACACGCACAACAATTTTTAAGTCAGAACTTTTCTGAAAAACAAACAACTGCGAAGGGCCAAGTGCTACGCATATGCTGCGCGACGCAACAATAAGAGGCCAGAAGAGGTTTTTTAGAAAAAACAAACAACAACAATAGTGTTTATAAAAGAAATTTTTTGTTTGAAAATTAAGATGTTACATTTTGATACAATTGTTGTGCACATTGATTAATAGAAATCGAAATGGTTTTTTATACATGTCAATGCAAGGACGTGCAAATAGTCAATTTTGTTGTAACCAAGTTTAAGAAGGATTGGTTGCAATGTGGCTTGAACTTAAGCAAATTTTAATGCTCGGATGTTAAATCGTTTAGAAAGATTTAAAGAGCGCTCTTTCCCGACCAAAAAAAATCGACAGTTGAAAAAAAAATCTTGGAACTCTAGAAAGGAAACTTGACTATGAAATGCAACTTTTGGAAATCACAAGGATGCCTAATGTCGAACATCAAAAAGTTATACTAAAATTGTATATTAGCGTAAAACGTAGGAACCAAACGTCTAATTTACTCGTTTTCTATAGCAGCCTTTTCTACTCTTGGGATGAACATAAGACTTTCAACGTATTGTTATAGCCTCAAAACCGCTAACCTTTGTGTAACATATTGAAAACGTAATTTAAGTTTTGTTCGTTTTTAGATCAATATAACCAAATATATCGATACGTAGGTAGGAGTTCTACACTTCTCTTCTTTTTTTCCCCAAAATCTATTCAACTTATACACATCGATCGGTGACAAGTACACCAAAAAAAAAAAAAAAAAACTTCCTTTCATTTCTTCTACTTATGAGTATATGTTTTCCATCTGTGGCCAAGAAACCTCCACGCCCCACACCCTTCAGTTTTTCTTGTCTTCGAATATGTCCAAGAGCGAGATAGCCTGCAAGTGTTCCCAACAAAAGAAAAAACATTCTCATAGTAAGGTCTCGTGTTGAAATACCATGACATTTTTGGTGTTATCGACTAGATAACGATCAAAATTTTACCTCGGGAATGTTGAGTTCAAGGCGGAATTTAGGGCCATCATAATGGTGAAGTATCGGCCTGAAAGAGTCCTCCTCTAATGGCTCGTATACGTTCCTTGTCATGACTCGCACCTGTATTATATATGACCAAATACAACCACCAAAAGTTAATTAATTAGCAGTTTTCATGCGTTAACTTTAGATCAAGTCATCTAGAAGAAGCAAAGAATAATTACCTGAGCAGGAAAACGAGATTCACCTTCGTTTTTCTTATCCTCCCAAGCAGATGGGTCGATGTTCGTACCTCCAAAGCTTGCAGCCTGCATAATTAGATTCAAATCAGTGTCATTCAGCGAAAATGGGCGTTTGCTCTTTCTCAAAAACATGATTCAGGTTTTGAAAAGAATGACTATATATGCATACCTCGAAAACTCCATGAAGTTGGTGGGTGGAATAATTGTACAGGAAAAGAGGTAAACCAGGTGTGATTTGTCTCACTGAGTCGCGATAACGAGGTGGTAGACCTGCCATGACAATCAGAAACGCGCAAATTAGACTTAATACGCATCATTTGCGAGTATATTTAACGAAATATTCAACCAACATTAGTATGATTCTTTGAAATATTGAACAAAGAATACAAAAAGTTAGACACAAAAACATTCATTGAGGAAGCTTACCAAATAGCTGCCTCTTGAGATTCTCTTGCATGGTGTCGTTGTTGCAGACAAAAATGTAACCGCCGACTGTTTCATTTCTCGGCAAAGATTCCGACGGTGGCAGAGTCTTGAACCTCTTATCTACATTGTTCTTAGCTCCATCTTTGTCACTGTTGTTATTGACGCTGCTTTTGTTGTTACCATGATTCTTTTTGTTCTTCCAATGCTTACTCCCATAACCCTGTTTATCATCCTCACCTTCACTTTTCCCATTCACAACTTTACTGCTGCTACTGTTCTGATTAAAATTCTGGTTAAGATTTAAACTGGGTTTCGAATAAATTCCTTTATTGAACCCACCATTGATCCCAAAATCACCAACTGGGTTCTGATTGGTTGATCCGATATTGCTACCGGAGGATCCGATCTTCCAATTAAAGTTGAACCCGTTGAAATCTGAATTTGATGGACCGGAATTGTTGCCGCTGGCAACGGTGCTGGGGTTGATGACATCCCCACCAACCCGAATGTCGAAATTCCGGCGATCTTTTTCTGGCCGTTTTGACACATATGAGTTGCTCCAAATGGAATCGTTAAGAGAGAGATTTGAAAGATTATTGTTCTGAACACGAAGCTGGTCGCTGAATTGCCAGAAAGATGATTGATTGTTGTTCTCCATGCTTAAAGACGGCAACTTTCTTGAAACCCAAGTGAAATAAGATTGTAAATTCGAGTTCTTTTTACTAATTGATTGAAACCCAGATGAAGTTTTTGAGTGTGGAGTGAAGTAAAGAGTAGCTGAAACATATATTGATATATATAGGAAGATCGAGGAAATTTCTAGGAAGCGTGAGTCGAAGTTTGATGAAATAGTCAATGAATGTAGTTTGAATAATAAAATGTTTTTAATGGGTCTTATTATGGGATTAGAAAGGAAAAGTAGTAAAAGATAATGGGTGTAGTTGAGCAAAGAAGCAAATGATGACACAAAAACGCGTAGACGTGGAAGAAAGAGATGAAGACTCGGCGGTGATTGAGAACGCGAAGACGTTTTCATGAAAGGGACTTAAATCCTTCATTTTGGTGATAAATTTAATTCTGGTCTCTACAAAGTTTATGGGTTGGTAAAATGTCTCTTTAACTTATAACTTTAAATTCGTATGTGATCAGTCGACATACTTTGACGACAATGACAAGAAATGATGGACATAAGTTTTAGTTTAGGTGGGAAATAAAACTGTTTGATATAATATAATTGTTGTTTATTGATATTACATATCTAATAAGTTCAATGTGTATGTAAAGATAATGCAATTTAAATTGTTTAATTTATAATAAATTGTAGATAATTAACCAAGATAGCAATAAATTAATTTGAACTCTCTGTCTCAAATCACAAATTATCAGAACAATGTGTTCAGCGTGTCATTTACTATTAATGTGTTTAGCCTAACTGATTGAAAAAGAGGTTAAAAATCATGGAATGAATAGCATGATTATAATAAAGCATTTAAATTTGTCATTGTGCCAACGAACAATGATGCACAAGATTCAATATAGTTCGATCTAAGTATATACTCCTTTAATCTTTTAACCAAATAAAAAATATGGTGTTTTACATTCCTGAAAATATTAGAAATATTTGACAATATATGTATAGTTTTGATATTAAATGTATTTGAACATGTTTACGATAATAATGTTCGTGATTTTAGTCTCACCATATCATTTTATATAATAGAAACTAACATGTGAGCTAAAAAGCTTCATAATTTGTACTTTAATATATGTACGGGTATGTACGGAGTGCAGACATGTATATGATCAAATTAAAAGTCGGTTCGACGACAAGGCAGGGGTCCAAGGGCAGCGTCCCTGGTCCGGGGTTTCCGAAGGGACAGCGCCCTTTGGCAGGGTTTAGGAGCAGCGCCCCTAGCAGGTCCAAGGGGTAGAGTCATGACGAAATTCGTTAGTTTTGAAAACCCTAATTCTTCATTAAATTTCGGGTTTCCAAACTTGCTTCCAAAGCAACGCATGATGGCCAATCCTAAGAGGCAAACTATAATCTCGTTTATTATATACAAATGACTCTTCTCTTTGAGAGCAGACACATAATTTTTTATCCCTCTTTTCTTCAAACGAACATAAAATCCTTCTAGTAGTTTGGCTTACGATGTCTATGCCTAGATTCGTAAGTATCTTTTTGAGTTATTCTAAGCTGAATTTCTTGCAACCTATGCATATGATAGAAATATTAGTTTGAAAAATGTTCACACGATCCAAGGGGTATCTAGATCTCCAACATAAACCCTAATTCCTCCAACAAAATCATTGGTGATTTTAGTGTCTTCTGACATTTTGTGTAATTAGAGCTGACATGTAAACTAAAAGACTTATTGTTTGTACTCTATATTATATGTATAGGGAATATGGAATGTATGTATATATAATATCGAATTATAAGTCAGTATGATAGAAAGATAGGGGTCAAGGGGATTGTGCCCCCTTGCAGGTCCTAGGGTTGACGCCGCTAGCAGGATCCAAGGGGCAGAACCCTAGCGGTGGTCCCTAACTAATTATATTGGGTGATCATTGTAAAATTGACAAATCTCATCAATTTTGAAAACCATTGATTAAATCATTAAATTCAAGATTCTCCCAACTAATTTAGAAGATTAAATCCTAATCTATCATATATATAATATATATATATATATATATATATATATATATATATATATATATATATATATATATATATATATATATATAGGACTCTTCCTTTTAGCCGTACACAATTATTTTCTCGGCTCTCCTACTAAACGAAAACAGAAGTCTCTGACGATTTGGCTTATATTTCTGTGCCTATATCCACAAGTATCATTTTGGATTATCTTAGATTGAATTTTCTATAATCCCGACATACGGTGGAAATATCAATTCAAAAAAATACATATATATGATCAATTAGGAATCCAATTCTCTATCGTTACCCTACTCATACATCTTCCAACAATATATGCACTTTACATAATGCAATATACATTTTCGAACTAAAATCCAGCTTCAAATAAGTTTCGAGCAACCTAAGGTGTCTTAATCCATTTTAACAAGCAAATGAAGATGGTTGGTGTATGGTAAATATAGTTGTATACCAAAAGGGTTGGTTTTATAAATCTTTTGTTGTAGAGGGCGACAAATCATATTAATTAAATTTGAAAGGAGTTTGGTATAAAGATTCCCATGGAAGTGAAAGTGTTCACACACAGACATACAATTTCGTTGCTTCGATGCTAAGATAAAGGCCAACGCTCAATTTTGTCTTCTGTAATCAATACATATTACCGTCATCGCGAAATTGCTAAATCAAATCTGTCTAAATATGTAACTATTAAATAAATATAAAAAGACAAAAATAATATATTAAAACGTTACACTTTTTATAGAATTTTAGTATATGGCTTAATGCTGAAAAAGTGTCGAGCCTCTCTCGTGGCCCCTCATTCATTTTTCAAAATTTCACTTTCGTTGCTAAACCCGTTCATAAAGGTTGTGGATTTTTTACTCAAAAATAAAAAAACACAACCCGTGCACAAACACATTGGCATACAAATTCATGTCATATTTGCAAATAGTGAGTAATGTATGTATGTTGTTTATGTTGTGATTATATATATATATATATATATATATATATATATATATATATATATATATATATATATATATATATATATATATATATATATATATATATATATATTCTAATTATTTATTGTGTGGATATAGGATTGATTGTGGACTAATCATTTTAATTATTTTAAGAAATTGATTAATAAATATTACTGAATTAAATATAATTGAAAAATACCATCTAATTTAATTACAATGGTATTTTAGTCAATTAAGATAGATTGTTAAACACTTTGCTACAAGTGCTAGGAGTATCCAGGGTTGCATGTAAAGAGAGTATGGCCTCACATTGGAGTTTACTCCTCAAATGGGGCCCTTAGGGGTGTTTACGTTTTTAGGATGTCTTTACTTGCATAATTAGTTATTAAATGACTAATTAGATACTTAAATGTATCATTACATGTTAAATGGGATTCGCGTGTGTGGTCAAGTCCTCACTTGACACTTAGCATCCTATACCATCTGTTCATCCGAATCACCCACGTCAGGTGAGTTCATACCCCTTAATCAACCTTTTAAATGATTTTAAATGCTTTTAGGGAGGGGGGATACAAGTTGAACTAGTAAGTTATTATGTCAATCGCATGTGATTAATAACTTACTAGCAAATAGATTTATGTATGTTAAATTGTTTTCATCCAGCCAAAGGTTTTCAAATCTTGTTTTTTTATAAACTGACATCAAGTCATAAACCATTTTGTATAGATTTTTGCATGATAAACTGCTTCATCCAGTTAAGGGTTTTCAAATATTGTTTCTGAATCACTTTTGAAGTGTAAAAACCCCTTTTTAACCTATCAGATTCTTATTTATAAAGTTTTTCCAAAGGTTTTACCAAAACTTGTGTTATGCTCTTGTATGGTTAAATGCATGCATGTATATGTATAGTTATATAAGTAATGTATAAAGGACTTAGGAAGGCTAACTCGCTTTAATTCCTTCTCCTTGTTTGGATGTGGCTTTAGGGTAATGGTTATCCGTCCGAATGTCGTTTAAATATTAGTTATATATCATGTATACATATATAGACATAAAATTCCTCTCAATAGATTCATCACCTTTGGGTAGAAAAGGCTTCTAGATAACCTCTCAGGTAAACTATAGTTTAGAAACCCACTACAACACTCAGGAAGGAGAACCCACTATAATACTCAGGAAGGAGAACCCACTATAACACTTAGGAAGGGAACCCACTACAACATTCAGGAAGGGGAACTTAGTGATCTCTATACTCTAAAATGTATACTCTTAGTGAAGGGAAAGGTTTATAGAAATCAAAACACGAGATGCATCCTCATGACGCAGATTTCCCTCCGACGCCAGCAGGTCGTCAAGTATTCGATTATTAATCAGTATGGTTACAAGTACTTCTAGAGTTATCTTATAATTCATGGTATTATATATATATATATATATATATATATATATATATATATATTTCCTAGTTATACACTAGGCCACGTTTTAAATCTCTAAATAAACCTGCTTAGGATTAAAGACTCTTTTAGACTTTGCGAGGTGTATTGGTTCATTCAATACCACCTAGAGTCTATATACCGCTCTTTTAGACTTTGCGAGGCATATTGGTTCATTCAATACCACCTGGAGTCTGTATACCGCTCTTTTAGACTTTGTGAGGCGTATGGCTCATTCCATACCACCTGGAGTCTAGGTTTTATTTACCCTTAGTCAGCAACGTTACTACTGAAGTAAAATATTATTTTCCCTATTATTTTACTTGTGATCTTCTCACATATTCTTTAAAGTATAAACTATATTTTGATAATGTTAGTACTTTTGGGGGAAAATACTCCTTAAACATAAACCGGTCAGGTCTTAGTAGAAGACTACTTTTTATTAGAAAATATGAGATTTTCTGGAAGGGATTCTAACACTCTGTAATTCTAAACCTCTATCTTTTACATGATTGTTTTGAAGGAAAACATGTATTTTGAAACACCCGAAAATAAGACCCAAAAATTTTTGTTTAACAATTACTAAAAATACTAAGATAATATCATAGAATAAAATTCATACGTCAATATCTCAAAACAATAGCAAAGTATTATGTAGACTGTGTCAAACTGTATCAAATCACATTTATGAAAAACTAAAACATCTCCCAGGACAACTGAAAACTGTGGTGTATGCGATGCCATCAACCCGAGCTCTTCCCTTTGCTTGCGGAAGTACCTGAAACCAAAACTGAAACTGTAAGCACGAAGCTTGGTGAGCTCCCCCAAACTACCACATACCATACAATACATATAAACATATACTGGGCCTTGCCCACTGCATCGGACCGAAGTCGGACCGAAGTCCGGAACTAA